GTGCGAAAATAGTATAACAATTTTGACAAGATTGTCATTTTCACTGAATTAACCCGTCGTATCCAAGACAGGTGCGGAAATTGCCAAGAATGCATAAGAGAGGACACAGAGCGCAGCAACGAGTCACAGGTGGGGGTCAAGTGAATGCCTAGTTATTCAAGAGAAAAGGAAGCCCATTTGTAGGGGAAGTGGGACTGTAGGCACGAAACCAAATCTGAGGCCAAAGTAATATTGAGAGCGACACTCTTATTCAAATTAATACGGAGACCCGAAATCAAGGAGAAGCGCTCAAGAACCTGTTGTAAATATGGAAGTGTCATCAGGGGATTAGTCAAGAGGGCATCGTCTGCAAAAATGTTCAACTTGAACTCCTGTCCCACGTATGGAACCCCTGATACATTACAATCAGTCCGGAGCGCTAAAGCCTGAAGCTTAAGCGCCAGGACAAAGAGTGCAGGGCACAGGGGGCAGCCCTGTCTCATCCCTCACCAAATAGGAAAGATATCTGAGAAATACCCAGTTTATTTAACAGAAGCCGAAGGGGAAGAATGCAAGGCTTGAATCCAAGAAAGAATAGAATTCCCAAAACCCTAACGATAGAGCACAAACCACAGATATTCCCAGGATAGAGAATCAAAGGCTTTTTATATGTCTAAGGACATTAAGAATCCCGGAATTTTCTGCTGTTGTAGAAAATGTATAAGATGGACCACCTTACGAACGTTATCACCCGCCTGACTCCCAGGGATGAAACATACTTGGTCCCTGTGGACCAGACTACACAAATATTTATTGATACGAAGACTAAGAATCTTGCCCAATATCTTCAGGTCTTCATTAAGAAGAGAAACGGGCCAGAAGGCTTGCGGTTCCTGCACATCATCGGTTCGGTCGTTTAGGATGCTTCACTTTTTAAATATTGTTTGAGCTGTTTGGTTTTATCTAAAATCTATAGCTTTCTCAAGCCTATAGTCTCAAGGACAAGGTTCCTCCTTTCTCAGTCAAGGTCCATTCCACCAGAAGTGTCCGTGCTTCTTGGGTGATCCAGTATCAAGCTTCTGTCCAGGTTTGTAAGACTGCTGCCTGGTCTTCCTGTCACACATTTTCTAAATATTTCCTGGTGTACAATGTAAAAAAGTGGATGTACACACCTCTGCAGATGTAAGTTTTGGGTGGAAACTGCATGCTGCTTTGTAGTGGGGTTTCCTTGTTCTTTTTGGGTTGTTGGCTTTGTTTCTGTGTTTCCCAGCCCTTATATTCAGTGCTTTGGGACATCCCAAATAATCATGAATAAGAAGGTGCCAGGTGTCCTATAATGTACTAATAACAAATTAGGATTTTGATTTACCTGTAAAATCTTTTTCTGGATTACATCACAGGGATTCTTTCCCTCTTTTGTGTGTGTTTCCCAGTACTTGCTTACCTGATCTGTGAGAGGTTCTTCCTGGGTCAGGGAAGTCCTGTGATGTACTCTAAGAAAGGATTTTGCAGGTAAAAAAAAAATCCAAATTTTTGCGATATGCAGAAAGCAAGATAAGAATGTGATGCTGCTAGCATAAATCTGTAGGGATAAAGTGGAACAGATGTTTGTGGCATGAGTGTGCTCATCAAGTAACAGTGGGCCAAAAAAGCTAAGATACATAAACTAGTTGAATCCATGCTGTAAGGAATTTGTTTTTTTTCAGTTATTCTTAAGGAACAACTTTGCATGTTATGTGAGGAAGGCTAAAGGAACAAAAATCCCTCCACTTAAAGCAGTTGTAAGCTTACTTTTTTTTTTAACTTAAAAAAGATGTTATACCTAAGAACCCTCTCTTCTGGACTTCCCTAACGGTACTCCTGGCTCTCCCTCTTCTCAATGTGCCACCATAGGAAGCCACGTCTTTGGTGGCACACGTGGTCAGCAGTCAATAACTCCTGCTACTCTCACACAAGTTTGTGAGAGAGGGGAGAGAAGACCTGCAGACGAGCACAGCGCTGTATCAATACAAGACTCAAATAAGTATTTGGGTATGGGTTGGGGGGCTGAGAACCCTCACTTCTCCCAAGTCTCATTTCTACCACAGATCCAAAAAAAATAGGATCTATTTCTTATTTTAGGATAGTGGGCAGAGCCATGCAAATAATTTCTTTATGCCTATGTGATTCAAATGCATTCAGAACTGCTGGTTTATAGTACTCATACAGCCTAACATTATAGAACCATTTATACCAGGATATTATGAAGGAAAAATAGGTTTCTATGTAGTGCTTTATAGGATTAGCAATGTCCACTGGTCAGACACTGCAGTTTAGGATTTATATGAATTGACCACATGTACAATGATATGGTTTATAGAGTATATGGTACTGGCCAGTTATACTATATATAAAACGGTGCTTATATCCCAACTCATAGAACAATGATAGACATAGGTTTTTAGAAAACAGGGACTTTGCAAGCACAAAAATATTACAGCAAAATAAATATATAAAAACACCATTGTGTTAAATCCAATCTTAAAATCAAAGAGAAAAATACATTGTACATAATACTATACAAAAATGGCAATGATTTGGCTGCGTAATTTGTAATTGGTGGATGTTTGTTTTTCCTTTATATATCATATATGGTATTTTGATACACTATCCAGAGTTTAATTCAGGATTTCTATAATTGCATCTTCATTAGTTCATACTTACCTAGTTGGATCACTGGATGGTCTTCTTGCCTATGTGATGCTGGGAATTAACCAGCAAAAATCTTCTATTTTTGATACAACATATGGCGATGTAAGTTGAATATAAACAATGTTTGTCTTCTTGGAAATAAATATATTTGTATGATGCTATTACCAATATTTTGCTATTTTATAGAACGTTTTTGCTGTATTCCACTGTTCCTCCCTGAAGAAGATTCAAACTATAAACCTTATAAATTGAAACGCATTGGGGATTCTTTTTTTGGTGGACGCAGCCAAATCATCGCCATTTTTCTATATTATTGTGTACAATGTATTATTCTCTTTAATTTTAAGATTGGATTTAATAAAATGGTGTTTTATACATTGCTTTTGCTGTAATATTTTGGTGCTTGCAAAGTCCATGTTTTATAAAAATGTATGTCTATCGTTGTTCAATGATATAGTTTATCTGGACTGTTACATTTCATCTTACACTGAAATCTCAGGTTGCAAAATCATACCAGTGAGCCCTGATGGCTGAGCTCGGAGTGGCCAACCACTCAAAATGCCAACTGCTATTTTCAGCCATTTGCCAACTAAGTACTTGGCTGACAGAACTGATCCTTATTCTTTTTTTTTACTGCCTAAACTTGAATGGTCATCAAAGGCAATCTAGCACTACTTGCTAGATTACCTTTGCATAGATGTTTGCTTGTAATCTGGTTGGTAACTGTATATGTTTTTATATATGCTTTAGTTTCATACTTGTACTGTCTTCTTAAAAAATGTTTATGGATGAAAAGATGAAAAAGATTACATAAGAATACATTTTAGTTGTGCACAAAAATGAATCCCAGCAATGATTATTTGTGGTAAGGATGTAGCTAGGAGACCAAGGTTACAGGTCTATCTCCAACAAGCGCTTTGTTTGCTTCATTTCTTTTCAGTCCATTCTGTGTTAGATTGTGTGAGATGCCACAAGGTCAGAGCTGGACGTTATTTATAGCAATACAAACCGCTTCCACCAAGGATGACAGCACAGTAAATGATGTGTCTGTGTCCTTCAATCATTTGCGTCTCTTAATACAAGACTTTTTTTTTTTTTAAAACTGTGAATTCAGTATGAGCACAACTTTACCATAAATCACACCGGTTAAAATATGATTGTGGTGGCATGTGGTTTGCAGTGCGTAAATCTTCATTTGGCCATTTGTCTCTTGAAGGGATAATGGACCTAGACGTCATAAAATTTTATTAGACACCAAAATACAGTCATTAAATAAATGCAGTTTTAATTTTAAGCAGGCAGGACTGCAGAACACCTGTTGACACCTCATTTCTGTATGTAATGATACAGTAGACAGGTTTGTGACAACATTCTGATAGCCCTTGTGAGTCAAAAGTATTATACAACATTCATTTCTGAACATACTGCTGCCTTAAGGTAAATGGTCACTTTTTGGTCTGCCCTTTATTTTTAATGAAAAGCGTGTTGTTTTTGTTTCTGTTACCCTTCTGTGACCTTAACAGATTTCTCTGCATGGGTGTCAAACAAGCATGTCTGATGTTCAAAATCCTGGCAGGTCATTTATCGGGGTAGAATGGTATAATGAATATAGTTCTCTAAGCAAACATATTTGTGCTATACTTATTAGACTACATAAAGGTACACTGGAAAAACAGCTGATCTTTAACCACTTGCCCTCTGGAGGATTTACTCCCCTTCCTGACCAGGCCATTTTTTGTGTTACTGCGCTGCGTTATTTTAACTAACTATTGCATGGTCATGCAACACTGCACCATAACAAAATTTACGGCCTGTTATTCTCACAAATTGAGCTTTCTTTCGGTGGTATTTGATTGCCTGTATGTTTTTTATTTTTTGCGCTATAAAACAAAAGACCAAAAATTAAAAAAAAAAAAACCCTATATTTTTAAATTTTTTTATATTTTTTGCTATTAAACATGTCCAGTAAAAAATAAAAAAAATCAAATTTCATCATAAATTTAGAGCAAAATGTATTCTGCTATATGTTTTTGCTAAAAAAATTCCAATACTTGTAAATTAATTGGTTTACGTGAAAGTTATAGCATTTACAAATGGCGGTAAATGTACTGGAATGTTTTATTTTTTACTAGTAATGGCGGCAATCAGCGACTTATAGCGGGACTGCTGCGGGCATTCTGACACTGGGGGGAACTGACTTGATGTTATTGTAATCCCTAGTGACACCAATACAGTGATCAGTGCTAATAAAAAGCACTGACTACTAATGGCAGTGGGTAGGAAGGGGTTTACTGTGAGCTGTGTTAGTGCTTTCAATTGTAAGCCATGTAAAAGCAGTGTGCAGGAGCTGACAGGGGAGAGAACTGTATTGTTTACATACAGTTCTCTCCCTCCATCGGTAATGCTACGCGAACACCGAGTGCTGGCGAGTAATAACTGGCCAGGACCCGGTGATTGACAGCCGAGACCGCAAATAGCGGCGCTGGTAGGGTGCACACGCGTTTCATACATGCCCCTACCCGGAAATGCAAAATCACATATATACACATTATTTTGCACACCCCTGCCGCACTGTAGCAGTATATCTGCTATAGGGTGGCGGGAAAGCGGTTAAAGAAGGCTAAGGGTCAGGCAAACTATGCTTTACATAAGGAAAAATAGTTCAAGGCATTTTTTTTACTTTCGTACTTATTTTAATTTTATCTAAAGCTTGGTTTACACTATTTTGGTGCATTTTATTAGGTGATTTGAGGTGTGATTATATAGTGAGACTTGTGAGCGACTTTGATGCGATTTCATCCATAGTAGTCAAGGCACTACTGCTTTGCCTGAAAGTAGAATTGAGGGTTAAAAAAAACCATGAAATCCCTTTCCAAATCACATCAGAATCGCATTTACATGCAATTTCTGTGCAATTTCATTGAACTCTATGGCGCAAAAAGCAAGCTGGAATCGCACCAAAGTAGAACAGGAACCTTTTCCAAAATCGCAATGTGCTGAGTAGCATTAACGCGAATGGGCACCATTGAAAACAATGTGATTCCCATTGTCGAGCAATTCTGCATCTGAAATCTAGTGTAAACCAGTTCTTAAAGTGTTACTAAATCCATAACCTTGCATTCACTATATCTGGTCTTACACAGTACACAGAACATGGAAATGCTATTATTTTAGTAAATATAAACTGCTAAACACCTTTTCTCATCAACAGTATATAGCAGTCTTGTGACTTCTATCAGTCCGGCTGAGCACTGTTTGATCTTGTAGGAGGAGTTTATCATTCTCCTCTTACTGTCCTATGAGGCCCCTGACCCTCTGTCTGGACAGTGCTGATTGGCCCTGTGCTGATAATATGCACCCCCCCCCCCAAAAAAAAAAAAAAAACTCTCTAGCAATACACACCAATTTGAGCATGTGCAGAGTGACTCCTAGAGTTCTGTACTATCCGAAATAGGATTGGGGAGAGTAAAAGAAGGGAGGATCAGAGAATACTGGATCAAACAGAGTTTTTACACAATGTGGAGGATTAACCCCTTAGGTTCCACAGTGAGTATAACAAACATGCTTTACTGCACACACAGACTAATTGTACTGTTCTGGGTTTAGTAACACTTTAATGTATGTGCATTCAAATGTTGTCCTATATTTGTAAACCTATTTTACTACAGTTTGCTAAAGTTTGGTTGCACTTTATGTAGATACCAAACTGTTTGTTTATTACTATTGATGCTTTCACTGGCTTCATCTATAGCTATTGCTAGCCATACACTCACATATTTTGGTCTTTCAGCTCTTGGGCTTGTAGGCAGGTGTTGTTTACCCTCCCTGCATTGGTGGCTCTGCCAGCAACCACCTTGCAGGGACAGTGGAGGACAGGAGGACCTTGTGGTCCTATAGGCCTTTGTAGGTGTCATCAGGGGAACAGCTGTCCGATTGGATGTTGTTGCCCCGGATGATCTTGTGGCCATCTTTAGTGAGGGTAGTGCTTATAAAAAGCACTGACTCATTGCAGTTGTCGCACATTTTGTATGTGATTTGGACAGGGACAGAACCAGATGGATCAGGAGGGAGGGTGTGCCTAGCATAGGGAGAGGTTCCAGTGAAGGAGGGACAGTATAGGGATTGTTTGCCAGTTGTACAGTATGGAGCCTTTCCGCTGCTATCACCTTGTTGCATCACTGTCTGCTGTCTCCTCTGCCACATGCTGTCGGCATTCGAGTATCGTCCTCTGCAAAGGCAAGATCGTTCGCTGTGAGTGTTGTTGCCAGTTCAGTGCTGCCATATAGACTTTGTTTCTGTGCTATTGGAATTACCACATTAATAAACTTCATTGCAACCTCAGATCTCTGTGTGTCTTTCCTCTTTCCCCATCGGGTACCCAATACTGAGCCCTCTCGCCCACAGGCTAAGCAAGCTATGCATTTGAAAGCTATTTGATTTCTCTTGCTTAGCCTGTGGGCGAGAGGGCCCAGGATTGGGTACCCAAGCATACTGGAAAAATGATGGAATACAGTGTTCATATATTCTGTGCAGCAACTACATCAGTATTCAGTAGCAATATATTCTTCAACCAGTGCATGGCAGTGTTTATAACTTTGTAGCTGCATTCATGAAATTCTCTATGTCTTTTGCAGTGAAGAAGATAAACACGTGTGAACTGTTCACTTTCTGTTCTATAGGGCTATATACAGAATGTCTAACAGTTTATGGGCCAGTAATAGCCAGCTATGACAAATAAGTGCAAGATACAGCAACATAGGAAATCTACAACAGAATAAAAGAAAATGACCAGTAAGGCTGGCCATACATTATACAATTTTCCTTTAGATTTACCAAAACTATATAAAACAAGGTCAAACTTAAACATTTTAAATTTTTATGCAATCAGTGAGGCCCTTGCACTACATAGTTGAAGGTAAATCAAAGGAATAAGTAAAGCATAATGTGTGGCCAGCCTAACACAGCTGCAAAAAAGCTTTCATTTGCAAATCTGACAAACCAGAACTACCAATCTTGGGAATTCAAGATAAAATCTGTTAATAAGAGAAGGTATATGGAAATGTATAAGTGAAGTCAGGCCAGAACGCCCTTCAGATGAGTGGATAGAGAAAAATCAGAAAGCTCAGTGCACAATCTCTCTTAGAGAAGATGATGATCTAATCATACATACTGTATATGTAAATATGAAAATGCTAACAACATGTGGGCAGGAATACAAAAGATGCATGAAAGAGCTAATCTCAGCAATAAACTGTATTTGATTGGAAAGCTATACCAAACCAAGCTGATGAAAGGCCAAGACATGCAAGATTACATAGGGCACATCTTGGAAATAGTTGAATTCCTAAAAGGTATAGGCGAAGAAATAAAGATTTCATGTCACAGCACTATTGGTTAGTTTCTAGATATTTTAGGTATAACAGACAATAGTACAAAATGTTTTTTTGTTGCTGCAGAACACCTTTTGACAATACTAATTCCTCTGACTTTATTACTGACCTAGCACAAGCATGCAGCCATTGAAATCAGACTCATTAAGTGCTAAAGTCAAATTAATCGGGATGAAAGTCAAGCAACCAGCATTTTCGGAAGGGGATCAGCAGTGGAAGACTATGTGTATCTTTCAAATCCGGTTTACTTTAACCACTTCCCGTCCAGCCACTGTATATAAACAGCCTGACAGTGGCAGTCCAGGGGCGGGCTTCCGTTCATAAACGGCGCCCGCCAGTTTGGACTTTGTGCGCTCTCTGGGATCCGGTGCCTGCTGTGTCCTCTGAACACAGTGGAACACCAATCGTCATACAGGACCTCTGTATGAGGTCCCGATCATGTTATCACTGATTGGCCAATCAGTGATCACATGCAGAGTAGTAAGCAAGATGTCACTGCTGACATCATTGCTTACTACATGTGAAATCTGTGAATGATCACAGAGGTCACATGGTACAAGGCTATTCACAACAGCCTTGTACCATGTGACAAGCTGTGACCAATCACAGATCACACAGTAGTTCTCAAGGGCTTCAAGAATGTGGCCAGAGAGAAGGAGAAATGATTGCTTTTACAGACTTTATGGGTCTGTAAAAGACTTTAATCAGTGTATAAAAAAAAACAAAAAATCTTCATTACCCCCCACAAGTAGTACAGTGTCACCATGGTGACACTGTACTGCTAGGGTGACAGTATGTAAAAAAAACATAAATAATAATATAAAAAAGTAACATAAAAATGTAAAAAAAAATATTTTTTGGTTATAAACTAATTTTGGTTATTTTTTTTTTTACTAAAAAGATAACTGAATAAATTTTGGCCATGATTTATGATGAAATATTTATTTGCAAAATTTTATAAGAAAAACACTTTTTTTCAAAATTTTTGGACATTTTCATTTATATAGCAAAAAAAAATAAAAATCCTTGTGGTGAATAAATACCACCAAAATAAAGCTTTATCTGTCTCAAAAAATGCTAAAAAATGCAAATGGGTACAGTGTTGCATGACCGCGCAATTGTCATTCAAAGTGTGATAGTGCTGAAAGCTGAAAATTGCCCTGGACAGGAAGGGGGTAAAAGTGTCCAGAATTGAAGTGGTTAAAAACAAATGACTCACTTGGGGGGGAAGGTTGTGTTTTGTATTTCAGTGAGAAGCTCTGCTTTTCATCAGAAGAGTAGAAAAATGTATATTAATATTCTGCTCAATTAATAAAAGTCCTTATGCTTTGGCATATGGAAGGGCATGTGACTCATTCCACTGTCACAAAGGGGTTGGGAGAGTCTGACTCAAGTAACTTGGAGCTCATAAAGGGCTGTCTCTTTGCTTTTGTCAGCTGAATGAAGCAGTAGCTGAGTAACATCACAAAATATTCCCCTCTGGTTTATCTATGTACTTTCTAAGGATTGTAACAAACTTTGTTGCAGATTCCTACCTTTTGTTATTCTAAAGAAATGGATGTTTGTTTGTCTGTGTGTCCCTGTGCAAAGTGAATATGAATGGGAGTGATTTCATAATTATCAATTAGCTGCTGCACTTGCAGGGCTCTAATGAGGAAAGTGGCAAGGTCTGTATTTCTTTAGACACGATTTTTCTTTCAAAGAATCTCACCAAAAATGACATTTTGTTGCAGAGGATGCTCAAAATATGATGTGCATTTTAGTTTTTTATTTGCTATTTTTCCTATAAAAATGGACTTACTCTTTAAGATAAGGAAGTGTGGCTGAGGATAGGGGTCTATGAAGTGAACCTGTTGCTTGGCACTTCATAAGCAAAGTGCCGATTTATTTTAAGGGCTACTCTTGTTCCCAGTTACAGATATCAACCATGGCTCCCTCTTTGGCCGGAGCTGTTTTTCAGCCTATAAGAGCTCATATTCTGGGGTGCTGTGACCCGTAGTCTGTAAATGGGCCAAATGCTTATGTGGCATGAGCTGCCAACTGCACCAGCAGCTCATTCAAATCTATGAGGATGCAGCAACTGCACAGACACAGCTACTTTTACCAATTTGACAGCCATGCGGGTGCGAATGAGCAGCCCTGAACGCACACTTTCTGCATTCTGGGCCACTTATACATCTGTCAAATTTCCATGGTCAGCTGTGTCTATGCAGCAACTGCTTCCCTTTAGAACTTAAACAGGCTGCCTACATGCAGTACTTGGCTGCTGAAGTCGCATAAACACAAGGCCCATTAACAGACTACCGGTCTCAGTGCCCGTGAGAATGAGGCCTAAAGGAACTCTTAGGACTGGTCTCACTGGGTTTTTTCACAAAATATTTGGAGAAAATTGAAGTGTAAGGTCCGGATGCTGAGAGTGTGAGTGTAATATCGCCTTTAGAAGCCCCACTTTTCTTAATACAAGCAGGCCTACCGGTACAAGATTGCCCCTAAAATATAATAAACAAACTAATATATAGAATGTCACCAGCAGGCCCAGGGTAGAAGCGAGTAGACATAGCATACAGTGATGAGAAAAACAAGATGAAAGTACTCTGAGAAGCCAAGACTGGTAGATGGCAGCAGGCATATGTCATTGGGTCAGATCAGGCAGCAGACAGAAATATCCATTAAATGTAACAAACCTCAGGAATAGAGGTATCTGGTAAATGTAGCAATGGTCAGTAACAAGAATAAACAGATGAAGATACAAAGTGCACTTAGTCAGCAGGAAAAGCTCAAGTAATGACGCACTGGTTGAAGATGTTTAAAAAAATGTGCCTTCTGCCTTGGAACCAATCCATGAGCTAGGAGGCTTGTGCACAGCGAAACATGGCAGCAGTGAGCAATCGCTGTGCAGGGTTAGAAGGGTGATTCCCTTTGCCTGGTGACCACCGCTGGGAGAAAAGAGCACTGGAAACAGGCGATAGCATAAGGGGCATCACCCATTTGGACATTTAAAGCAAAACTAAACTGTATCTGAGCACCATAAACTAAAAATGCTACTTGATTAAATTTTAGTATTCAACACAAACTCCCCCATTCATCCATGTCTTCATGCTTTATTTTGAAAAATGAAAAATCTCTTTGAAAAACACTCTCCTAGCATTTCTGGCCACAGCCATCTTGTGTAAGGACAAATAATTCATGTAGCTTTTACTTCCTGGAATCCATCTGCCCTTAGGTCAGGCATACAGACAGAAGGGTGTGCTTAGCTAAGAAAATCCCTCCTGAAGACTCCTGGAATGTATGACATCATTTTCTCTAGGTCTGAAAAACAGGAACTAACTGAAGAAAGGTAAATAAGTTAGTTTAAAATAGGTAAATATAACATGCTTTCCTATCTCTTTACTAATGTTGATTGAGAGAGTTTAGTTCCAGCTATTCCTTTTCATAGGCAGGGCCTTTGAAAGGTAGTGATTATCTCAAAAACAAAACTGGGATAATGCCTACTTTAAATTCATTACATGTTTCCAGTCACATACAGCATAACCTAAAAGAAATTGTAAAAATGTCAGCCTACCTTTTTAGATGCTCTTTTCTGGGACCCAGCCCAGTTATTGCGACAGATCAGGCTGAGCTAGTTAAGAACCTTTTTTCTTGAAACATAAAAAAGGTGAGACATATTTTAAATGTAGCACCCTCCTAGTCAGCTAGGCAGAGCTAGACTCCACTTGTTAGGAGGGCTGAGTAAAAGTCTGGATGTGATAGCTAGCAGGGGTGAAACTTTGGTCAGAGCTGAGAGGCTCTGCAGATCAGCCCTCTGAAATTTCCCACTACTCTAGAACTTTGGAGAAAGGTCTAGAAGCAGTGGGTGGATCTGAGGAGTGGCTGATCTGAACTTTTGAGGGATTCTGACCAATTTCCAACAGGAGGCTTCGCCAAGGGGCCAGGAAAACCTTAAAAGTGAGAGAGCCTGCTCAGTAGCAGGAGAGTTCAAATGTTAGGCAGAATGTGAAGCTGAAGGCAGGAGCCTGGGAGGGGACTCGGATGGAAAGGAGCTCACCTACAGACAGTAGAGTTTGGAAGGAAAAAAACTTAAACCCTCAACAGCCCCCAGAGCAAGGACCACCTGTGTAGCAAGGAAGGAGCGGCCCAGCTAGAAGGCCTGGTAGCAGCCACCAACTCACCTGCCACACAGGAAAGGGACTGAGTGAGTAAGCCTGCACCCCCTGGGCCAGATAGGGAAAACAGCGCTCTGGTGGGAAACCAGATTAGCCACCTCCCAGGACTGTCTTATTGCTTAAAGTGGCAGGCATTGGATCTCCTGCTCAGCGATTCCTCCATATAGCTGGGTAAAGATGAAGATTTATCTGGGGTCTGGGATGGTACTACAGGAGAAGCTGGTTAGCTCTCCAAAAGAAATTGTTTTGCTGTGGAGACATGTAAATAGTTTCAGGAAGTTCCCATGGTTTCTCAGTTCCATTGGGCATCTCACACACCCCTTACCTCATCCAAGTTGAAATTTCCCTAATAAAATCCAAAAAAACAAGCTCAAGGACTGTAACTGACTCCTGGATGCAGGTCTGTAAGAAATGCGTGTTGCCTGGCTGTGCAGGACTATAGGGGGACCCTAAACTTCTGCAACTCGTAAGGGGGTAGTGCTACATAAATATTTTTTAGGTATGCTGTTAGAAAAAGAACACTCAACAAACCTAAAGTGAGGGATTTTTCAAATTTGACTGCAAACATAAAAATAAACAGCAGGCAAAATAAACTGTCATAATAATATTGTTGCTATGCAATTATGAATGAAACCTGCAATCTCTGGTGTGAGCTTTCACACCAGTACTGTGCTATTGCTAAAATACCCTTTGCTCACTGAATATGTTTGCAAAGTGAATCAATTACAAATTATGAGTAGAAATAGAATTGGCTTTGATTTAAAAATACCAATTTTCACTACAAAATGCCTTAATAGCTAATAAATTATGTTTACAAAAACCTAAATTTTTAGCTATCATGTTGTTAGCCTCTTCTCCTTGTCCAATCAAAAAATATCTTGTATTCATTGAAAAGAACAGATGTTCTCTCAACGGTGAAGTTGCAGAGCAGCACACAGAAGCTGGCAGCTTGGATTTGCCGCCAGCCCTCACAAAGTTGGCTAAGAGCTCCGCCCCTCTTCTTCTTCAGTTAAGGCACACCCTCACATTTGTTAAAGGGCAAATCCTGTTATCTTGTTACTCACATTCTCCTGGCCAGTGGCCCACTTTAATAAAAGAGTCCACACAAGTAGCCTTTTTAGCCTTTTTACTTTGTAGCAACAGGTCCACAACTCCGTACAGAAGCTTCTCCAACTTTACACGTCAGACCAGCAGTACGGTATAAATCGGTGCATTAAACTCAAACTCAGAAAGTCCAATCATCTCTACCACCTCTCCTTCAGAGTCCCTTGACAGCCTAGACCTGAAGGGTCCTCTCTCGCAGGCTACAACCTACAGTAGGCCAGGGGTAGTCTGCTCCCATTGATCCTTCTGCCTAAGACTCCACCCACATCAGCTTATAAATGTGTTCATACTCAACCCACCAACTACACACAGGGATGGGACTTTACTAAAAGGGGTACGAATTCCTGCTTACA